TGCCCCCCCCCCCCCGGTGCCCCTCACTCCTCCCTAACTTCAACTCTCCAAGTCCGGACTGCCTTCCTGCCCCCCCCCCCACTGCCCGATTGGGTCCCTAGGGGGCGATTCCTGCCCAGGGTGGTGGTTGGGAATTGGGGGGCTGGAGGGGGAGGGGCTCAGAGATGGGGATGGCGACACAGCGGGGGGATTAATGGGGAGGGGGGATGCAATAACACAGGGCTGGTGCTGCCCATTGCTGAGGGTCCCCCCATGTCGTCCCCCCCCAGCCCCCCAGCTCCATGGCAGACCCCGGCCCGCGCTCCCTGCTATACGAGGGGATCATGCTTCCGGCCCTGGTGCACAGCAGGGAGAGCCTGCGGTACGCCCAGCTCGGCTTCCAGGTGCGAGACAGCGACGTCTTCAGTGTCACCTACCCCAAATCGGGTGAGAGACTCCCCCAAACCCCCTCTGCACCCCTATATCCTCCTTACCTGCCCTGCACCCCCTACATGCCCAATACCTCCCTTTTACCCCCTATATCCCCTGACAGTCCCAGAGCCCCCCTCTGCCCGCTATACCTCCCCTGCACCCCCACACCTACCCCCAAACTGTGTGAGGTCCCCTCAGACCTTCCCCTGGATACCCCCACTGCACTCCACACCTATCCCAAAGCAGATGAGACTCCCCCTCCAATTCCTGGGATCCTCCTATTCCTCCCCATCCCCTGGTGCCCCCCACACCCCTTCCCCCATCCCCCCCCCATTCCTCCACGTACCTCCGTCTCATCCCTAGCGCCTGCTACTAACCCCCCTCCCAAGTCTGCAGGACCCCCCTCCACCCATGGCCCCTGGGATCCCCCCACAGCCTCCCCCAGGATCCCCACTGCACCCCCAAACCCCAACTTCTGCACCCCCCTAAATGCCACTTACCTCCTCTGAACCCTGGCACAGCCTTTGAGCACCCGGCCATCTCCCCTACCCCCTGGGTCTCCCCACATCCCCTACCCCCTAACTCCCCCTCCACCCCTCTGACCCACAGCATCCTAGCTTCCTATCCCATCCCCCTGAGCCCTGGGGGTTCTCCCTTTGTACCCCAGTCCCCCCATATTTCCCCCCACTCCTGGCTCTAATCACCCCCACACCTGGGGACCCCCTACCACCACCCCCTGGTATCCCTCCCCCAATATCTACCCAGCCTCCCATCTCCATCATTCTCCCTCCTCCCCCAGGCACCACCTGGATGCAGGAGCTGCTGACCCTCATCCACAGCAATGGGGACCCCCAGCTGGCGCGGTCGGTGCCCTCCTGGGAGCGGGTGCCCTGGCTGGAGCAGACCACGGCAGCCGGGTTCCTGGAGAACCGGCCCTGTCCTCGGCTCATCTCTTCCCACCTGCCCTGCGGCCTCTTCCCCACCTCTTTCCACGGCTCCAACGCCAAGGTGAGGGGCTGCGGGTCGGGAGTGAGGGGCACCAGCAGAGCTGGGCGGGAACAGGGCTGGATTAGCAGGGGGCTGCAGATCGGGAGTGAGGGGCACTGGCAGGGCTGGGGGGGATCCCAGGGCTGGGCTAGCAGGGGCTGTGGGTTGGGAGTGAGGGGCACCAGAGTTTGGGGGGAACAGGACTGGGCTAGCAGGGGCTGCGGGTCAGGAGTGAGGGGCACCGGCAGAGTTGGGGGGATCCCAGGTCTGGGCTAGCAGGGGCTGCGGGTCAGGAGTGAGGGGCACCGTCTCAGTCCCTGTCCCTGTCCCAGGTGATCTATACTGTGAGGAACCCCAAGGACATCTGCGTCTCTCTCTATTATTACTCTAAAATGGCCTCGTTCCTGGAGTTCCAGGAGGATTTTGGGGAATTTGTGGAGCTCTTCAGTGCAGGCAAAGGTACCAGGCAGCGCGGTGCAGTGGTTAGAGCAGGGGGTGCTGGGAGCCAGGACTCTTAGGTTCTCTCCTGGCTCCAGGAGGGGAATGGGGTCTAGAGGGTAGACACGGGGGGCGGGGCAGGACTCCTGGGTTCTCTCCTGGCTCCAGGAGGGGAATGGGGTCTAGTGGGTAGAGCTGGGGCTGGGAGCCAGGACTCCGGGCTGGGGAGCTGCATGTGTCCAGGCTGTTATACCAAAGGGTCTTCAAGCCCAGCCTCTGGGTCCCTCTGTTCGTTTCATGCATGAGTTGGCATTTTACCCTCGCTCCCTAACCCCACCTTGCTTCCAGTGCTGTTTGGCTCCTGGTTCCAGCATGTCAAGGGCTGGCTGGGCCTTAGGGACCGTCTCAACTTCCTCCTCCTGACCTACGAGGAAATGCATCAGGTAAGAGACTAGCACCAGAGAGAGGCGGGGCCAGGGAAATATACCCCCCCCCCAGGTCACACCCCTGGACTCATCCACCCTGGTATCTAGCCTCCTCCCTGCCCCCCCCCGCACTGGATCAGACCCCCGGGCCCATCCACCCCCCTCCCTGCCCCCTGGGTCAGAGCCCTAGCCAGGCCCATCTACCCTCAGCCCCCTCCCTGCCCCTAGATCAGCCCCCCCGGGCCCATCTACCCCAGTGTCCCGCCCCCTCCCTGCCCCCAAATCAGTCCCCTGGGCCCATCTACCCCAGTGTCCCGCCCTGTGCCAGGACCTGCGGGGCAGCGTGGAGCGGATCTGCCAGTTCCTGGGCAAGCCGCTGGACGCGCGGGCGCTGGACGGGGTGGTGGAGAACGCCTCCTTCCAGGCCATGAAGCAGAACAAGATGTGCAACTACAGCCTGGTGCCGGAGAACATCATGGACCAACGGATCAGCCCCTTCCTGAGAAAAGGTGGGAGAGGGGCGGTGCCCCTGCCGGGCAGCAGGGGGCGCTGTGGGGGGGCTCCCAGCTACCCCAGCCTGGCCTCTCCCAGCAAGGGGCGCTGTGGAGGACTCCCTGACCCCCACCATTCTCTGCTTCCCGCAGGGGTCCCTGGCGACTGGAAGGGGCACTTCACGGTGGCGCAGAGCCAGGCGTTTGACCGGCTCTACCGGGAGCAAATGCAGGACGTGGGCGTCCGATTCCCCTGGGATGAGGCCTGAGGGGTCGCCGCCCCCCTCCACCGGACAGCTACAGTCTGTAGGGACCCCTAGATCCGTGTGTGTGGGCACTTGAAGAGTCTGCAGAGCCGGGGCTAGAACCCAGGAGTCCTGGCTCTCCCCCCCCAACCCCTGCCTTGCTCTAACCACTAGACACCACCCCCTCTCCCAGAGCAGGGGATAGAACCCAGGAGTCCTGGATTCTGTTCCTGGCCTCTGTCACGTTACAGCCATTTGGGATCATCAGCGTGCGTGCCTCAGTTTCCCTCTCTGTGGGACGGGGCCGAACCCCCCTTAATCCTGTAGCGTGTCACTAACAAATAACTCAGCACCAGAGTGTGTGGCTGCTGTGTGGGGAACCAGCCACCAGGAGTAGAAGCGGCTCCAGAAATGGAGGTGGGGGGCAGGCTTTGCCTGGCGTTGGGCCCTGCTTAGGGGACTAGAGTGTGGGGGGGCTGCCTCTGTGCCCCATACAGAGGGTCTGTGCCATGCCTTGCCAGGGGCACCCCTCCCCCAGCCCCATGACGCCCCCCAGGTACCCACAGAGCATGCCACTCAGCCTCCCCCCCCCGACTCCTGCCTCTTCCATCCGGGATCAGAGCCCTGCCTCAGCCCCCAGCACCTGCCCACACCCCTCCCCCTCCCAGCTCTGTAAGGGGTTGCGGGGTAGCTGGGGCTCGGGGTGACAAACCCAACGTCCTTCCATCTCCGGCAGGGGCTGCAGCCTGGAGTCCCCTTCCCCCATCCCTGCCCCCGGATCAGCCCCCCCGGCCCATCTACCCCGATACCCCACTGTGACCCTTTCAGGGTTCTCCAGGGGTACAGGGTGAATCAGCAGCGCCAGGCCACCTTGTCTGTGCTCACCAGGGGAAACGCCCAAACCTCCCGGCCGGTGGCTACACAAGCGCCCCACTCCAGGCCCCACCAGCCTGTCCCAGCAGGGGACGCTGTGGTTTGCCTACGCCAGCCCTTAGGATCCTGGCGTGGGTCCTTGGGGCAGAGCTAACTTGAGGCTAAATCTATGGAGATAGTTACCCGCCCCCAGGTCTGCTCTGTCCCTGGGGCACCGGCCCCTCCAGCCTGTCTGTGCCCAGCCCCTCGACTGCTGGGGGCCCGCTGTGCACTCGGATGGGCTGCCTCCGTGGGAGCCGGGCCCCGCTCTTAACCACCGTCCCCTCAGTCCAGCCCTCTGCTGATCACCGGGCCTGGGGTCGTGTCTGCAGCAAAACCAAGAGTCAAACAGAAGCAAGTGTAAGGTTTGGAAGCAGACACAAGAAAAATATAAACCATGGGGTAGGGTCTGCGCTTATTCCTAGTTAATAAGCAGGATAGGGTCTGCGCTTATTCCTAGATAATAAGCAGGATAGGGTCTGTGCTTATTCCTAGTTAATAAGCAGGGTAGGGTCTGTGCTTATTCCTAGTTAATAAGCAGGGTAGGGTCTGTGCTTATTCCCAGTTACACTGGCTAGAACCCATAGTTATTACCAGTTAATAAACAGTCCTGAAGCTGTAGTAATTACCAGGTAATAAACTGGCTAGAGTCATAAACACAGTCTAGAGCCTGAATTTATTCCCAGTTTCATTTCCTGGCCAAGAAGGTGTTTCTCCCCCGTTGGTCCGCCCGGCGCCCGCCAGCGTTTGTCCCATTGGGAGAGCCAGGATCCGCTTCTCAGGAGAGACTTACCCTGGCAGTGTGTCTTCTCCGTAACAGCCCATCTTGGGCCCGCGTCTCCCCCCATACGCGTTCCCCCCCCCCTTTTTTCTCTCTGGTCGCACAGAAGCGTTTTGTTAATTCACTTTGCCCCAATGGGCCCCCCCACCCCCACTCAAAGCCTTTCTCTTGGGCACTTTGTCTAGGGCGGCCGCACGTGGATGGGCCGGGCCCCAGATGTCCTCACTCCTGGGTGAGTTAGCGGCCAGGGCCCAACTCCCCTCCCAGAGCTGGGAGAGAACCCAGGAGTCCTGGCTCCCAGTCCCCCCCCCCCAACCATTAGACCCCACTCTCCTGCCAGAGCCGAGAAAGAACCCAGGAGTCCTGGCTGGATGGTGGGGGGGGTCCAGTGCCTGAATCCCAGTGCCAACCCCCCTCATTCTTTGGTGGGGAGCAGCACAAGGGGGTTCTGTTATATTGGGGGAGGTCTTTTCTTAACCCTCCCCCCCATTTTCCTTCTTCTCTTACAGTGGCTGGCACATAGGGCCCCTGGACGTCAGCCAGCAGCCCCACAGCTCCAGCCTCCCCACAGACCATGCTCCAGGACCCCCTCCCGTGGGGCATTCCCCCCTCATTCAGGGAAATCCCCAACCCCAGGAAAGCTGCAGCATTCCACATTTCCCATGGATGGATCACTGGGGGCGGAGGGGTGTGTGGAGATAGTTTGGGGTATGCCCTGCAGGCCCCTTTAAGCTAGCCTCTGAGGGGGCCATACCCCAAGGTTCCTGGAGCCCTGCACAGACAGCCCCTCTCTCCAGATGGCTGCACCCCACGATTGGGGAGAGAGATCCATACCCCAAGAATTCCATCTAGATGGATTTGTGGGACCCCTTAGCTGTCTGCTCAGCACACCCCAAATCCTCCCCTACCTCCTGGAAGAGGGAGCCCCCCTAGTTGGGCCCAGGCCAAAGGATGGGACCCCAAATTTCACTTGGGGATCAGACACAAGGCCTGTACCCCAAGATCTGCGAATGGGGAGAATGCTGGGAACCCCTAAACTGTACCCAGAGGCAGTTCATGCCTTAGGGGGCACCCTGGGCTGCGGATGTAGTGTGGGGGCTCGGGGTGACAGCAGCCCTAACCCAGTCCAGGATCTGGGCTCCCCCAAATGAGTCCCAGCCCCCACATTTGTAAATAGCCCCAGCAGAGTTGGGAGGTCCCTGGGGGGCTGCTGGAATGAGAATCATGGAACCCTGGGTCGGCACAGAGTCACGGAGAGGATCAAAACCCACAATTCGGTCTCTGTGCTGGGTGAGGGGTCCCCATATACCCAGCTCCTGCGCCCCACCCCAGAGGTGCTGCATCCCAGCACCAGCCGAGGGGTCCCCACATCCCAGCCCGGAGGCAGCTGGGTAAATAACCCGTGCTGTGTGTGACTGTCACGCGTGGGGAGGGGAAGGGGGGGCGCAGAGCAACTACTGCGAAAACCTACATCCCTGTCCCTGCTGGAGCGCAGCGCATCGCTCCCACAAAGCACCGGGGGGCGCTGTACCCTGCTCTGACGGAAATCCCTGCACCCCGCAGTCACGGAACTCGGGGAGGGGAGTGGGGCTGGGAGCCAGGACTCCTGGGTTCTCTGCCTGGCTCTGGGAGGGGAGTGGGGTCTAGTGGTTAGAGCTGGGGGGGGGGTAGGGGAGACTCTTGGGATCAGCAGCAGGCCCTGACTGGGAAGTGAGGTGCTAATGAGTGTCCCGTGGCCAGGTGGGGGGGGGTCCTGCTCCACGCACTCTAGTACCCCCAGCGGGGGCAGAGCCCTGCCTCCCCTCTCCCCCCCACAGGGCGCGGCCCCTTTAAGAACTCAGCCGACCCGCTCTGCCTTCCCCCCCTCAGCCGACACGTGCCGCCCCATGTGCTGCCAGCCCCCCAGGCCTCTCCCCCTGCCGCCTCCCCGATTGGCTAAAAGTGGGTCAGGCTCCTCCCACCCTCCGGCTTCCTATTGGCCAAATCTAGGTCAGCGCTCTCCTCCCCCCGCCCATCACCTCCCCCCCCATGGCCCGGACACATGACCGGTCCGGGCGCACGAGTCTGGGCCTTGGCAAACATTCCCAGCCCGCCGATTGGCTCGGCCGGAGGCAGCTCGGGTGCAGGCCCCGCCCACCTCTGCAAGCCCTGCCCCCTTTTCCCCAAAGCGGGGAGTCGGGCAAAAAAAGAGATTAAAAAAAACCCCATCCAGCAGCTACCGACAGCTGCGAGGCGCTGGTGGAGCCGGGGCCGCTGAGCTGAGATCGGGGGGGCGCGAACTTCCTAGCAACGCTGCACCCCCAAAACCTTGGGGTGCCCCCACCAGGAGAGCCCGGGGTGCTGGAAGGAGGAAGGAATCTCTGGCTCCTGCCCTGCGGACCCCCCCCCCCCGGGCCACTGGGACACTGACAGGCGTGAGAAGTTTTTTTTTGCTGCTGCAGAGAAGTGGGTGCCTGGGCTCTGCCAGGCTAAGGGGGGACCCGGCTGTTTTGGGGAGCAGGGATTTTTTTTTCAGGGTCCCCACAGTGGGGATCCACCGGAGCTCGTCGCTGGACCAGATCCTTTCTCCGAGGGATCGACTGGGAAGCTCTCCTGACACTTGGGATTCCCAGCTCCAGTGGGCACAGCGGGGATCCCCGACGGGCCATGGCCAGGCCAGCGGCCCAGCTGGGCACCACGGAGCGGCTCCCGAACCCTTTGCTCTCCTCCGCGCCGCTGGGGGTGCCCGGGGCCGGCATGGTCAGCCTGAAGAGCCTCCTACAGGGACCCATCAAGAGCCCAGAGCGCAGGCCGAAGGATCTGACCACCTGTAAGTGCCCTGGCGGCCGTGCGTCTGTCCGGTCCTGCGCGGGTCTGTCGGGCTGGTGATCGCCATCCCAATGCCACCGGCCAGCCCGCCAGCCCCATACATACCCCTTCCCTGTAGGAATCCCACCATCCATCCATCCCCATAGGAACTCCTCCATCCATCCATCTGTCCATTCATCCATCCATCCATCCCCATGGGAACTCTGCCATCCATCCATCCATCCATCCATCCATCCATCCATCCCCATAGGAACCCCACCGTCCATCCGTCCATCACCATAGGAACCCCACCATCCATCCATCCATCCCCATAGGAACCCCACTGTCCATCCATCCATCTATCCAGCCCCATGGGAACCCTGCCATCTATCCATCCATCCCCATAGGAACCCCACCGTCCATCCGTCCATCACCATAGGAACCCCGCCATCCATCCATCCATCTATCCATCCCCATGGGAACCCTGCCATCCATCCATCTATCCATCCCCATGGGAACCCCACCATCCATCCATCCATCTGTCTATCCATTTGTCCATCCCTATAGGAACTCTACCAGTCACCCACCTACCATAGGATCCCCACCATCCATCCGCCTGCTTGTCCATCCATCGATCCCCATAGGAACCCCCCATCAATCCATTGAACTGTCATCCATCCATCTGACATCCATCCATCCCCATAGGAACCCCCCATCCATCCATTCAACTGTCATCCGTCCGACCATCCATCCATCCCCATAGGAACCCCGCATCCATCCATCCCCGTGCAAACCTTGTCATCTCTCCATCCATGAACCTCGCCATCCATCCCATTCCCCTACTCCCCTGTATCTAATCCACCCCTCCGCAGTCTCTCTCCATACTGCCCTCCCTGCCCGATGTGACGAACTGTGACACCCGCAAACTGCCCAATGCACTTATATTGCTGTGGAAATACACACCGGAAAGGGCCCTCCATCCCCCTCTGCAGCCCGCCCAGCATGGCTTTCAGCCCTTGTCTGTCTGTCCAGTGGTGCCCTTGTGCCAGGCTGTGCCCACCCTCTCCTGTCATCTGGGGCAGGATTTGCACTCTGGGCTGGAGAGGGGCAGCCGAGAGGGAGGGAAAGGTGTGGGGGGGGAATTGCACTGGGCCCCAAGCTCAGGGGGGCCCCCAAAGGTCTGTGTAGATGCAGTGAAATGGGAAAGGTCCCAGCGAACGCGAGGTGCCCAGACCCCAAATTCCTCTGGGCCGGTCTGGCCATGGGGACCTCTCTGGGCAGCAGCCCTGGCTGCACCTGGGCCCAGCCATGTTGACTCCTGGGCCACCAGGAGCACTAACTTGTGTGCGGGAGAGAGACAGAGGCTGTGTGTGTGTGTTTGTGCGGTTTTGTGTACAAGACAGACAGACAGAAGTGGAGCGAGTGTGTGTGTATTAATGTGTGTTTGTGACAGACAGAGCGTGCATATTTGTGTGCGAGAGACGGACAGAGGCAGAGTGTGGGTGTATCAGTGTGTATTTGTGTGTGAGAGAGATGGACAGACAGAAGCTGTGTATTAATGTGTGGTTGTGAGAGAGACAAGCAGAGTGTGTGTGTGTGAGACAGAGGCAGAGTGTGTATGTCTTGGTGTGTGTTTGTGTGTGAAAGAGACAGACAGAGAGAAGCTGTGTGTGTGTGTGTGTGTGTATTAATGTGTGGTTGTGAGAGAGACAAGCAGTGTGTGTGTGTGAGAGAGACAGAAAGAGGCAGTGTGTGTATGTGTATTGGTGTGGTTTTGTGAGAGAGAGAGACGGACGGACAGAAGCCGTGTGTATTTGTGTGTTTGTGATAGACAGGCCTGGTGTATTTGTATTAGAGCCTCAGACAGAGGCAGAGCGTGTGTGTGTGTCTGCGTGTGTACTTGTGTGTGTGTGTGTATTTGTGGGTTTGCAGGAATGGCCCTGGTCTTCCACCGGCCTGTCTTCTCCCACTGGGAAGTTTAGAAAAGTCCGGAGGCGCTGGGAGAGTCTGGGGGGCAGGGTCTATGCAGGTTCCCTGCCTAATTGCGTGACACACACACACACACACACACAGCTCTAAATCCCCACAG